ACCCTTCTGGAGGAGGAGCCACCGAGGCATGAAAGCATAAAGGCTCCCACCATGCTTTGCAGAAACCTAAGATGGATGCCAGCACATGGAGCAACACAACTCTGAGAAAAGGTAGGACCTTGACATGTACAGCCTGAGAAAATGCAGCTTATGCCTCTCCTCTTGGCAATCTCCCTTAGGGAAATGCAGTTCAAAAGCTCTTGATTACAGTAGTGTCCCTTTCCTTTGGACTACAGTTTCCACAGCGCAGTGCTGCCTGAATCAGTCTATTAAACACTTTCTGCTCTGCAGCAACCTCCTCCCACTAATACAGCTGCTAACCAGTTCAGCACCAGAGAGAATCAGCTACAGAGAACACAGCTGCAGCCAGTGTTTCTTTCACTATTCATTCTTACCCAAGCATTTGGCTACATTAGTTAGGGGAAAAGTTTGGAAATAGGGAGGGGGGTTGGGTTCTTAATACCACAATTTAGGAAACTGAGGTGGCCTGACAATATTTATGAAAACAAGAGTACTCCATCTAGCAGAACCAGGTTGTTTGAAACTGATCCTCACAGTGATTCAAGGACCACCGCCAGTGATTCATGCATTCCTTCTAAATGTAACTACAGTTTTTACCATTGTATTCCCCTCCTTGTTCAATCTAAAAAGCGTCACCTTTTTTCCTAAGTTATAAGTCCAGTCAGCCCGCTGCCTTCGTTGTTGCTTAGACAAAAATGATGTATAATCTTGCCTCCCGGAAAATGCACATCACGTATCCCAGGAGGCATTAGCTTAAAAGTCAACACTGGAGGATAAAGGGCCTAATGTGCGTCATCAGGAGGCCAGATGCAAGAACCAGGAAGTGACAGCTGGCTAGTGATGATGTCAGAGACCAACATGGTACTGCAGGACCTGTTGTGCAGCAGCAAAGCAGCGGATCACAACACAATACCACTACATGTGCTGAATGTGTGAGTATGTTTATTTAGGATGACCAATTAAAAATAGATAATGGGGGGGGGGGGGTTAAAAAAGAGATTTATACAAGGGTTTAATTCCTCTTTAGGAGGATGATTTTTAAATTGACTGGTAAGAAAGTGCCAAATTTGTCCCTAAAGGGAAAGGTGTGTGTGTGTGTGTGTGTGTGTGTGTGTGTGTGGTGGTGGGGGGGGGGGGGGGGGGGTCACCATTTAAATGTCTTAGATTGATTTCCATCCCTCTGCCCTGGCAACACTAAGTCATACTTGGCTTCTTGGCTTGCTGGAAGGAAACCTGGGTGACCTATGATTGGTGAATTTTACAGAGGAGTTTGGAGGAGTTACTGACTGGAGGACAACTTTCAGGGTAGTCTCAATTACTGGACTGGATTTGAATATTAGTGGGATAGTTCTTCCCAGCCATGACCAGGGGACTAAAGATGGCTTGTTCCAGTCCCCCCTGACCATTACCTACCTCCTTTTATCTCAAGTAACCACACAGACAACAAAACTGGAGTTAATGGCCCAAATGGCCTTTTATTACAACCATCAATAAATAACATTTAAATAACAAAAACACAGTATAACATAGGTTTTCAAGGTCCCAATAGGCATCAAAAAGAGAATACCTGCATCCTGCTTAACTAGGCCTCCAGTCACAACACACACCAACTCGGAGACAACTACCGCAGATACCCCCATCAGAACAACTGGAAGCTGTACGTCAGATGGGTCCCTACAAAGTACCTTTCTTGTGCTCACAGTAACCTACAAGGACCTTGCACCCTTTTTCGCCTTGTCAAAACCCTCTTCTGACTGAAGACCCCTGGTACACCCTGTCAGACCACCCCCTGTGGCTCCACCTGCTCCCTCCTTAAAACCACTTGGACTCCTCCCTTAACTAATGGGACTCTCTTCTCCCAACCCCCTTTAACCCCTGTCTTGCCATCCCTACGTTCATGTCTTCTTCTTTTCTTCTACTCCGGGCCTCCCTGGATAGGTTGCAAAGAGTAACCATCTGGTATTGGTTTGTTAAGGTTAAATCAAAAGATTAGTGGAGTGGTTCCCTCACAACTCAAGTACTCTTGATATGTGTACAACTGTACAGGTGATACAATGAGGATTTTTTCAATCCTATATAACCCATGTGTTTTGACTTTGAGAACAAATTGTAGTTTGCACTTTTGGGGCCAATGGGGATTGAGATAATGTGCTTTGAACAGTTTTAAGGAAAGAAGTCAGAATGGAAGTCAACAAAATTTAGAGTAGGTACAACAATCTAAGTTATATATTCCTAGCTTTGCAAGCAATTATTTGCAAAGGTCATTTTCACTTTGATTCACCTTATTCACTAACATAAGTGAAAATTCACAATTCTTTACACTATTAATAAATAAACACCAAGGACTGTGAACTCGTAATTAGCTGTGCAGCTCACCTAGTGCATATGATAGGAATACTCTGCCGCCAAATCTTTAAGGGCTCGTTCACACTTGGCTGTTTTACCAACGCTTGCCAAATGCCCCTATAGCGTTTGGCAAGCGTTGGTCCGGCGTTTGCAGAGCATTTTTTAACGCTCAGCAAACGCTCCGCAAACGCCGCATGTGCGGTTTAGCGGCAGTTGCTAGGCGTTTGCCGAGCGTTAATAACGCCCCACAAACGCCTATAATGAAGTTTGAGTGGTGTTACTGCTCCGCAAACGCCCCCGCAACTGCACCGCAAATGCCGGCCTGGCGTTTGCGGAGCGGCACCGTAGACGAGAATAGGAGGTTTCAACTCCTCCTGAATCGTCCAGAGGCATCTGTTTTGCCGCGACGCAACGCAAACGCTCCCGTTAGAACAGCATCATGTGCTGTAATGTGCAGAATTGGCAGAGGCGTTTGGGAAGCGGTAAAAACGCTTCCCAAACGCCTCTCTGCCACCTGCACACAACGCTAATGTGAACGTAGTCTTAGAACCAAACCTCTGCTTCTGGTACCAACTCCTTGGTAAAACAGCCTTGTTCACCACTGGACTCTTGTTTACCTCCTGTGTGAGAAACCCCATATGGGACAACAATACACATCCTTAAAAACTGTATTTGACTGTATTTCACAACCATTTATATCTAAGATTTCTATATTACTGTAAAGTATAAATTATTTTTATTATGAATTAACTATATGAATATTGCAATCCACTGAGTCCACCTTCCCTTCTCTCCACTTCTTTCATATGCTGTACCCTTTCTCACCAGTCATACCTCATGTGAGGAAAATTTCCCCCTGCCTATTTTTTGTTCATATGGAAAATAAACAGATATAACTGACTAGAAATTGTTCAGTGTGGTTGTATAAAGCCTTCACATTCAGGTGGGATGGTATATGTAGTTATAGAAGAATTATCTTTAGTGCAGCTGAGCCTGGAGACCCGAAGCTGTTAACCCCAAAAATGCTGGAAGTTCGGCAGCAGGGCAGCCCTGCAGTGAAGATTTCCATAGAACCCAGCAGTCTGCACATCGTGGAGCTTTCTTCATTAGGTAAGTAATGTAACTAAACTGTAGAGAAAAAAAATTTTTTTTAGCCAAACTTCAGCTTTAATGGATTCCTCTTCCAGATGTCCTATTTAATCATCCTCATTTCTTTCACTACTTGAAGAGTCGGCTGACATCAGATTGATCAATTGTATGCTCTCGATGTTTATGTAAACACTTTTATACCATTTTTATGTCATTTTAGCATTCATTTAATTGTTTTATAATTTGTTTACTATATACTGTTGCCATGGTGTGGTAGTTTGGATTAGTAAACATTTGTTTAAATTGTGTCTATGGAAGGAATCTGAAAATGGTTTATGGTAGGACTGAAAGCCGACTAGACTGTTGTCAATTGTGCAATGTACTCTGAAAATCTGACATACAATTGTCCTAAAAAATAAAATGGATTACTAATCTAATACACTACAGTAATCATCTGTTAAAAACCCTCTATTAATAACAATACAGATTTTCTCTAATGTAGTATTAAGTCAGTCATAATAGCCATGGACTCTATTGTTTCTTGATTCAAACGGAAAAATAAAACGTCTACTTCACCAAAGCAGCAACAACAAAACCGATATTATTCTCATTTCCTCCAGATCTGTACAAACCAGTCTGTCAGGTTCTCAGCAGGCAGCATACAATCCCAGGGGGTTTACAAATGGCCATGAAAACATGAGGTAAAGACAAGTCATATGAGAAGAGGCACTGTCTACTGTACCTCCCAATACAATTATTAGTACAGTGTAAATACAAAACAGAATTTTAATCATTATTCATTCACAATGGAATGCATATTTTACTGAAATACTCTTTTTTTCTGTGTAGTGATAAAATAAAATGGAAAAAAACAGAAAATGGCCAGCAAAGAGAGTTGTTGCCCATAGGGCGTAGGATTTATTGTCTGGAAAAAAAACAAAATAAGGAATTGGGTTGGTCACTATGGGTAAAACTTTTATTCTAATTTTTTTCAATTTACGTTTTGCTTTAATCAATAGCCCCCCACCTACAATGTTATGTTAGTCAAACAAAACAAGAAAGGTCTGCCTACCTTTCTCCCCCTAGGCCCCAACTTGCAAAGCTTTTCTACATGTACTGACCTAGTGAACATATGCAGGTCAAGTATCTTTTATTTGTTTATGTGGGACCAACACATTTAGGCCCTATGTACACGGGACACTTCTGAATGATGAAAACTGACTGCTGGAAAACGTAGGTTAAAAAAACATCTGTTTAGACGCGTTTGCATAACGCGTTTATGCGCGTTTATGTACGTTTGCGTTTAAAAGCATTTTTTAAAGATAAGCACAGGAGAACCTCCCAAATGCCCAGAATGCACTGAAAAGTGGTAAATTATTAACTATTTCAGACTGTATCAGAGAAATACAGAGAGTAGAAGCAGAGACAGCAGTACGTGTTGAGATTAGCTTAGGTGTGAGTTGCTCGTTAACATTTCTTTTGTTTCCAAGTGCACGAAAGGTGTCTAGTGGAGTGAGCCATTAAGGCCACCTGGCAGGGGGTCTTCATGAGAAATTTGAGGTGTGAATGATCATTAACACATCTTTTGTTTCAAAAGACAGGTAAGTGACTGTATTTTAAAAGTCAGCAGCTACAGTTTTTGTAGCTGCTGAATTTTTTTTTTTTTTTCAGGTGGAACTCCGCTTTAACCTTCCCCTACTGAGCCAAATCCTCCTTTATTTGTGTCCCACATGCCCCTCTTCCCAAACACTGTAGCACACAGTGGGGCTGTTTCAGCAACAATGCAATGCTGTCAATCCTGAAGTGGGGAGAGGTCTGAGGTGTGAATTGGTCATTACAATGTGTGACAAGCTTGGTAGGAACATCCTGTGTTCAGTGTTTTGTCCATCTGAGTACCTTGAAAATGCGTTGCATGCATTTTTTCATGATGAAAAAAGGCTCTGGACAGCCGTTTTATCCGCATTTACAAGCGTTTTGCGTTTGAAACGCTGATAAAATCGACTGCTGAACGCAAGTTTTCTGCGTTCAAAAAATGACTGTAAACTCAAATGCCTGTAAACGACGATGTGTACATGGACACATAGGAAAACATTAGGGTAAGTTCAGGGGCTGCTGAAAAAACATCTCCTAAACGTGAGTTTATCAGCTGCAGTGTACATGAGCCCTTAGTAGTGCTTTAACTGCTTAACGATGGAAGGTAAAATAAACCTTACCACCTGACCCTGTATTGCACCAGCTTTATTCTTTTTATTTCATTTCTATTGGTCCTTATTTCACAATGTGTGGTCATATTGCTGGGGCTGCGTGACTGAGCATGCTCCGGGCACCTAACAACAATGCATATTCAGTATATGGCGGCATGGAAAATGATCCAGCTCTGTGCCGCAACATATACTGTATGTGTGGTGGTAAAATTAGAAAGAAGATTGATCTAGTTTAGCCTTTTTCAACCAGGGTGCCCAGGCATCTTGGGTGCCTTCAGGTGTCTTCAGGGGTTCCCTAGCAAAATGCCTAAAAATTGCCCAGAAATTGTATATAAATCAGAGGGTGGATTAAGCCTGCCTTTTAGTTCCGCAAAGCCACAGGTTTTCACTGTGCACCACTACAACCTTCTAGCCACCGGCATCCTGACAACCATTGATGTCATTAGAGGACTTTGGGAGCCTGTACAGCATCCTTGTTTGCCTCTCCCCTGCCCTCTCCGTCAGCACTGGGTCACATTAGCTGAGTGAGGGAGAAGAGAAATGCTGAAATACTAGTCAGTACCAGTGTGCAAAGGTGTGTTTGCTTGAAAGGATAAATCACCTCTAATGTAGGGTGTCCCAAGTGTGTAAATGTTGCTGCATTATGTAAAAAAATTTGTTTAGTTTTTTACATTTTAGAATGGGGTGCCTCGAGTTTGTGCAGAATTTTAAAGGTGCCTTGACTGTAAAAAAGTTGAGAAATACCGATCTAGTCACTCGAGTCCCCGCCATTAAAGATGCTTTTCCTATTGTAATCATAGACAAACATACACATACCCACACAAACTGGCCGATCTGGAAAAAAAACAAAATCCATGAAGTAAAAATTTAACAAAATACACCATATCTATAGGGTCATAGTATTAACCAAATAACCAGTTCACCAAGCATTCAGAAAAAGAGAATGGGCTTTATATTTTGTGAGGTCGAAGTCATCACTTAAATATATAACTAGTGTTTTAGAACTGCCATGCTCTCCATAAAAAATGTTCCATGCCAACTTTAAAGTACAAGTAAAGGCTTCTGTATAGCAACGTAAAAAAAAAAGTACCAAATCCAGGTACTAGGTGAAGCACAAACCTTGTAACGTTAACAACAAAAACTTCCTTAAAGTGGAGCTCCAACGAAAAGGGGAAGTTCCGCTTTGAGTCTTTGTCCTCCGCTTCCCCATTAAGGATTGGCACCTTTGGGGAGCAGGTACCCGAATTTGACAGGTTCCCGCTCCCACTTCGGAAGAAAAAGTTCTCCTCCCCGCCTCCCTCCCTGTAGTCCCAGAAGACTACAGGGCTATTCACAAAGCACAGCGCTTCTCGCACATGTGCAGTGGGCACCCGGCTGTGAAGCTGCAAGCTGTTACAGCCGGGTGCCCACACTGAAGATGCCAGCACCAGGGTGAGAGGACAGCCTGTGAAACCATCGGTGGTGAGGACACCGCTGGACCGAGGGACAGGTAAGTGACTGTATTTTAAAAGTCAGCAGCTACAGTTTTTGTAGCTGCTGAATTTTTTTTTTTTCAGGTGGAACTTCGCTTTAACCTTCCCCTACTGAGCCAAATCCTCCTTTATTTGTGTCCCACATGCCCCTCTTCCCAGACACTGAAGCACACAGTGGGGCTGTTTCAGCAACAATGCAATGCTGTCAATCCTGAAGGCAATGGGCATTACTAGGTGTGGCCAGGATCTGAATGACAAACTACATAAACAGTAGTAACAACTCCCCAACGTCTTCTTATCCCATTGTACTGCAAGCAGGTGCAATGCAGCATCGTTGCCACACCAAGAAAGCTGTATCCGGTTTGCTGCACTGGCAGGATCAACAGGTATTTTGGAACTTTGCAATAAATAAGTGCTGCAGCATGTTCTTTTTTTAATAGGAGGACATAGTTCTACCTTAAAGTGATTTTAAAGACAAAAAAAAATGTCATACCTACCTGCATTGTGAAGTGGTTTTGCAAGGAGCAGGCCCATTCCTCCTCTTCTTGGGTCCCCCAACAGCGCTCCTGACCCCTCCCTCCTGCCAAGTGCCCCCAGAGCAAGCAACTTGCTATGAGGGCACCCAAGCAGGCTCACTCCTAAGATGCTGCTCTGTGTGTCCATTCGAAAATACAAAGCCGCAATTTGGCCCCACCCTCTCTCTCCTCATTGGCTCACTGGTTGTGATTGAGCCAGTGGATCCCCTGCTATCTCAGCCAATGAGAAGGGAGAGTCCCCGGAGAGCCAAGGCTCAGATAAGTATTGGGGGGGGGGGGCACTAGAGGCTGCTGCACACAGGAGGCTTTCTACCTTCATGCATTGAATACATGAAGGTAAAAAACTTTGAGCCTTTAGAATCACTTTAACTATAGGGGGCGCCATTTTCTTTAGTGGTCATTATCATGCCAGAATGACTAATATTTGTACTTGACAGAAGCCAATTTTTACATCTCCCATTGGGGCCTACCCCAGTGATTACCAATGGTAATAGTCATCTGAGATGTTGTGACATCACTGGTTCTACCACTGTATATTCATCCTCATAATATGTTTTCACAGTGTGAATCTATCCACTGAAGAAAATTCAGGAGTATGTGAGAAAAGGAACTAATGCACTAGATAAACACTGTCAGGATTATTTAGGATTACATGTAGAAATAGTATCTTCTCACAATGGGAATTTTACATGACCTCTCCTGTCAAACAACAACACGCTTTGGTAGCTGCCTCTGGACACATGTATGAAAGTACAACACAGGAAATAAAGGGAGAGCTTACATTTGTTTCAAGAAACTAAATTGGAAGCAGGGGCGGACTGACCATTTGGAAACTCGGGCACTGCCCGAGGGCCCGCGGTTAGTAGGGGGCCCCATGAGATGCCCATGGTACCTTTTTCATAGGCTTTTTTGAGTTTGGGCAAGAACACAGGGGCCCCATGATCCCCTATTGTCCCAGGGCCCCATGAGTTGTCAGTCCGCCCCTGATTGGAAGTAAGGGAAATGTGCAACTTTAACTGCTTCCCGACTGCCCTATAGCAGAACTACTTCTACAGGGCGGCAGGGCTGCGCAAAAGCACGTATATATACGTGATTTTGTATTCCCGAGTAGGGAGCAATATAGCAGAGAATACAAAGCAGCATGCTTACACAGTAAAACAGCACATAGCACATAACGGGAAACACACACAGCACACAGCGACCCAAATACAACCAAAAGAAAGCTCCGTTTGTGGAGAAAAAAAGGACATAAATTCCATTTGGGTGCAATGTTGCATGATAGAGCAATTGTCAGTTAAAGTAACGCAACGCCGTATTGCAAAAAATGGCCTGGTCAGGAAGGGGGGTAAATCTGTTGGAGGGCAAGTGGCTAAGAAAATAGGTTAAAGTGGTTCTAAAGTCAAACTTTTTTTTACCTTAACCTCCTTGGCGGTATTCCCGAGTGTAGCTCGGGGTAACATTTCAGTACCAAGAGCGGTAACCCCGAGCTACACTCGGGAATACCATGTGGCACTGCTCTGGCATTTGTTCTTCACTTACCTTACCCTGCGATCCCGCGATGTGTCCCCTGCAGCGTCCCCGGCCATCTCCTTCAGCCGATGCCGGCATCCGGCTTCTGTGTCCTATCCCTGTGACGTCGGGACGTACGGGCGCCGGTGGCGGCGGGAAATTTAAAAATTTTAAATAATGTCATTTTTATTTTTTTTTACATTTTACATAGTAAAACATTGCTGTCTCAACCAATTTCACATACATTTTGTCCCTACTGCTTTGTCCTGTGCCCTGCCTGCATTTTGTCTGTTCTTTCTGCTTGGAAACTGAGAAACGTCCATGGCGTCCAAAAAGTGTCCCTTTAGGTCAAAAGCGGGTTTAGACCAGCTAGAGAACAGCGATAGTAAATCAGAACCACTTGCAGAATTGAGTGATAATGATTTGTGGGGAAATTCGTCATCAGACACTGAAAACGATTTTGCGACTTTGCTCAGCAATGTGCGAACTTATTATGGCGCTATATTTCAAATTTCAGTGTTTTTGGTTTGATTATATTATTGAATTAAATGTATTATTATTATATTATTATTTTTTATGATTATTTATTAAATTATAATTTATGATTTCGTGTTTCAAATTTTATCATACCCGGGATGTTTACTAGCCTCTTGTTCGGACAGATTTCAGTGAGTGATTCCTAAAAATTACAGGCCTACAATAAAAAAACTACATATTTCCATGCAAAAAAATGTACCGCTTTCAGTACCAAAAATCTGAAATAATCATACCGCCAGGGAGGTTAATGCATTCTCTGCATTAAAAAGCCTCCCACTACCAATCCTACCCCCCCAATCCCTAAATACTTACCTGACTCCTCTCACCAATACAACACTGTCCCTGCTGCCGCACCACTCTCCTTTCTTTCTGGTCTCACAGGAGACAGGGTAAAGGGAGCCATAAGCTCCTGCAGCTGTCAGTCAAACTTCTGTGAGGAGGGAGTGGGGGCGTGGCTTACCAGCATTGTGTGTGTCTATAGAAACACACAGCCTGGCTTGGGAACGCATGTGCAAGGGTGCCCCCATAGTGCCCAGATTGTTAAAAAAGACATCCAGAGGAAGGAGGAGCAGATAGCGCTGACAGAGGACTGGCAAAGAAAAGGTAAGGGACGACTCTTTGCAATATCATTGCAGAAAGCAGATAAGTATAACTTATTTTTTTCATTTTAAATAAAACAATGTAACCTTTAATCTTTAATATCATAACTTGTTTTATTGATTGATATGGATTGTGTAAGCACTGTACTGTAAGGAGACAAAAAAACAGACTATTTTCTAACTGCTTTCCTCAGAGCACACCTCATTGACAATCATA